AGTTTCCCCAGGTGCCAGCATCTTTTGAAATTGGCACATCACCAAAGCCAAGTCCCAGGCTCACTCAGGTCCTACCACTACACATGCACTCGTGTGCACCGGCATGTGTGTGTGCTCAGCCCCACGTGCACTCTCATCACCCGTGGGGGACCACGTAACCACCGCCCCCGTAGTAAAAACATTTCTGTCACCTCAAGACTTCTGGTGATGCAATAGATCTCATCTGAGGGACCTGCAGCCTGTTATGTGGAGCAGGCCTGAGCAGTCCGATACTGGGGGCCACTGCCCATAAGCTGGGCCCTTATTCACACCGGACCAGGCTCAACCCACATTCCACCAGAGGCAGGCTAGACATTGGCCATAGGCTTACTGGCCAGTCTCCAAGGTGAGGTAGGTGAGGCCAGCAGTGGTGGGCACCCGCCCCCAGAGGGCCTAGGCCGCCCCAGCCTCTCAGGGCCTGCAGCGTCTCACGTGGCCGGGGCAGGGGAGTGGGGGAGCCTCAGAGGAAACGCTGAGTTCCCCATGAGACCAACCGTGCAAGGCCTCCCAGCGTCCAGCATGGTCCTCTGCAGGTGGCTGGCAGGTGCTGTCATTGCACCACATGCATCCAGAGGTGCTGCTCTTCAATGGTTCTTCCCAGCGTGAATGCTGGGGCACCGTCTAGCCGCCGGCGCTTTCATCCGGGTGGGTCTGCCCTTTCTCACTGCGTGGCCTCTGCACGGAGGCTGCGGGGAGCGCAACTTCACTACCTCAGAGCGTCACAGAAATTCCATCCCATGCTTGCTGTTCTTTTAATTTTTAAACAGTTTTAGCGCTGTCGGCCCTGGGCTCTTGGGGGTTTGGAGACGCGCTTTGATCTCTAACTCCTTTATTTCTGATGCCTCCCAACGCAGGTGCTTTTAGGCCCACAGGGGGAGCCGAGGGAGGCACACCTCGCCCCCTCTGTTGTGCACACGGCTGCGTCCCACTGATGGGGGTGGGTGGAGGTGGCACCACGGGTGCAGCGAGTAGGTGCGGAACTCAGCAGTCTTACCGTGTAAATACTGGTGCTGTCGCTGTGGGGCTTGCTCTGTAGACATGCAGCTCCCACCCTTGCGGGCTTCTGTGCTGCATCATCCCCCACATCCTCGAAGGCTGAGGCCCCTTTTTTCTGAATCTGTTTCTGTCAGCACCACGGAGCAAACATGTCACTTTCACCTTCAGAGAAAGGCTGCCTGTGAGTCAGAGCCTCTCTGGAGCACTGAGACCACGCTCTCTGCCAGGGTTTAACACCTGCTTCAGGCATAGCCAAAGAAATGGAGCGCAAGGTCTTGAAGGGTGTTCAGGGTCCCTGTTTTTCAGGGCATCAAGTAGCCATGTGGGCCTTACCTCCCGATTCCGAGCATGTCCCCCCCAGGTGTGTCACCTGATCATCCTGCCTTCCATGGTTCAACTGGGACCTTGGGGTCTCCAGGCAGCACAGGGGTCCCCTGGAGAGCAGAGTGATTCCACGGTAGCATCCAGTGAACCCTGCGTTCCACAGACCCTCCATTCTCACCCCTAATCCCACCACTCTCTCCAATCTCACTCACCCCAGAGAAGGCGGACACCCCAACCCGGCCCTCTCCCACTTTCCGGGAGCCCGGCCACACCTCTCCCTCCCTCAGAGCTCAAGAGTCCTTTCTTCTGCTCTCCCAGCCCTTCATCCCACAGGAGCAGCTCCTGTTGGCTGTGGCCCCAGGACCTCTGCATTTCTGAAAGCAGTGGCCATTTCCACCCCTGTCTTCTTGACCCCTCCCGAATATTCCCCTCAGGGAACCTTTGCCCGCTGACCACTGGTCGGTTCCCTCCTCCTCTGGCCTCTGCTCCCCCTGGTGAGCGGACAGCGTGGAAGGTTGTGAGGAAGCTGGGGCCCCTCAGGAGCTCCGGGCTGGTTGGGCCTCACACCATGTGTCACTCCTTGGCCATAGCTACTCCAAGGAGTAGGGGGTCTGTGCCCGGCGCTTCCTGAAGACGCTGGCAGTGAGGCCATCTGTGTAGCCTTCCCAGCGGCTGGGAAACCCAGCCCGCATTCTGGAAGGGTCCATATGTGACAGCCTTTCTCAGGATTCTTTTCGGTCCTTCTTGCTCCATTTTCCCTGGAGCAGCCACCTTTGGCTCCCCCACACACGTCCCCGGCCCAGCTCTCCCCGAGGTCCTCAGTGCAACACCCCCCACCCCAACCCTATCTTCCTGCTCCCAAGTTCCCTAGCTCTGTCTGCTGTCGCACCCACCCCGTCTCCCACCTGGCCATGGCTGCAGCCACCATCGGCCCTGGTCATCACACTGCCCAGCAGTTTCACAGTCAGCGGGGAAGGAGCTTATCAGACACCAATACTGTCCCTTTACCCTGTGCTGGATGTTCTTGTGGCCCCTGGGGCTCTTGGTAAAGACAGGATACCCGGGCACATCCTGTGTTATCTACCCCAACACTTTCCTGGGTCTTCCTCACAGCCGCACTCCTGCTCCCAAGAGACATGACACACGCCCACACACCCCCGCCCCTCTACATGGGCCTCAGCCCCACCCTTGCCTCCACTTCATGTGCCTCCAGACCAAGATCCACAATGCCGGGCTGCTCTGCCTCTGCGTATGGCCAGGCAGCAGATGCTGCCGGAGCTCACCGCCCCAGGACGCAACACAGCTCCTCACCTGATGCGCGTGTCCTGGGTGTGCTGTATCCACTGACCGCTGACTAGGGGCTTCAAACAACAGGAATCTGTTCCCTCCCAGTTCTGGAAATTAGAAGTCTGAAATCCAGGTGTCGCAGGGCCACACCCCCTCTGGAAGTTCTGGGGGAGGATCTTTCCTGCCTCTTCCGGCTCTTGGGGGCTCCAGGTGTTCCTGGGCTTGTGGCTGACCACTCCACCTTCCGCTTCCATCCTCACATGGACTTCTCTGCTGTGTGTCACATCTCCCTCTCCCTCCCTCTGTTAAGGACACATATGATCACATTTGGGGCCCACTGGGTAATGCAGGATGACCTTGACTGTCTGTCATCGTGTGTTGTCTTTCTCTGATGATGATTTGAATAAGTGACCGGAGCTCTCCCAAGTGCATCTTTCCTTACTTGGCACATAAATCCCCAAACCTCTCCATGATATAACTTCCGTATGTCTGTCTCCAGCACATCCTTACCATTTCGCTGCCTGACTTTTCTCGGAGGACCTCCTAGGCGCCAAAGGAAGTCATCATCCACTGAGGTGGATGAGCTGGTGTGCAGGACAGGGACACCTGGAGATGCTAGAGAAATTTCTGAGCAGGGCTGAGTCAAGGAGAGACAGCAGCTGGAGAACTAGAACATTGTAGGCGGAGAGCCAGTGTGTGTTCCCGGGGGACGAGGGGTCATGGCCAAGGGCTGTGGTGGAGCCGGTGTGGGTGCAGCGGTCAGAGGCTCTCACCCTGGCTTAAGCTACATTAACACAGAGCAGGGCTGAGAGCAGCTCAGAGAGACTACAGATGACATCAACAGAGATGCCCAAACCATGTCAGCCTTGGCATGGGCAGTGGGCGGCATCCCTAACAAGACCAGGGACAGAGGCAGAGCCTAGGGCAGGCAGCAACACGTTGCTCTGCTGGGTCCCTGGGCAAGTGGAGGCCAGTGGGAGCAGGCTCAGGGAGAGATCTGAGGGACCTAAACGCCAGCATGGCTTCACCGTGGGCAGTAGGCTGTGACAGCCTAGACTGGGTTGAAGTGATGGGCAGCTGGTGGTCAGGAAACTGGGGAAGACCGTACGGCTGTCCAGTGTGGAGGGGACGAGGCCAGAGCCAGGGCTACACAGCCGGAATGGGAGAAAGGCCGAGGTGGGCTTCATGGCTTAGGACAGGCTGTGTCCGCCCCGTCCCTGCAACGCGCTCCTGTCCCTTCGCGCCTGCACCGTCGGGCTGCGCGGGCGCTGCACTGCGTCTCTCCAAAGCCTCTCGTTTCCTAAGCTTCCTGTCAGCACGAGAGAGAGAACCACCACGCTCACCACCCTGTGCTCTTAGAGCCCGGCCTTCCAGCCGCACTATAAATAAGCCGGCAGCCCGTCCAAGCACACCCATCCGTCTTGTTTAATAGACTGGAGAGCGCCCCACGCCACGGCAGGTCTCAAGGAGTGGCAAGGTGATGGATGGCACCTTCCTGCGTCAGACGGCATGATGTATAATGAAATATTTATGATTTATTTCAGCTAATAACCCAGCGTGAAGTGCGGGGTGTGTGAGAGCAGACGAGGGAAACGGCACAGCTCTGCTCGCAGAGGGCGGGGCGGGGGCGTCCTCACGCGCACACGTGCATCCCACACACATTTACACACATGTATGCACTCACACGGCCCACCTCACTGCACCCTCAATGCCCTGGGCTGGAGTGCACACCTCGTGGCCCTCGTCATCCTCTGTTCTGCCACCCTCTCTGAGAAAGGACAGCTGGATTTTTAGCTAGAGAGGGCTCCCGCCAGGGTGACACCCAGGAGAATGGAGGTGGAAAAGCAGGCCGTCACCTGGAGAACAGGAAGTCCCTTTCCTCCTGTCAGAGACCTACGTGAGGCTGAGGCCCAGGAGCACCCCATCGGGGAGGGGCCGCAGTGATGCCCAGCCCCGCCAGGGCCCTGTTGTGGCTGGAACCCCCTGGCGGACATTGGGAGGCAGCCGATTCTTGGGTTTCCGTGGGCCTGAGAGGCAGCAGGAAGGGCACTGTGCAGTGACAGCACGCGGCCCCAGCTGTCACACCTGCATATGAATGCAACCAAAGGGGGCCGTTCTGGTGTCAGCATCACAGATTCGGGTCACAGCCATCGAATTTTGTGCTTGCCGCCTTCTCCCAAAAGTGCCCCACACATGGCTGCCGTACCCATGGCATTAACACTCACAAACAGACACCCAGTGTTCACCACACAGGTACACATGTCCTCCGTGCATGTCCTTGCAGGCACAGGGACCATAACATGCTGAGTTACAGCCCCAGCTCGCCTCCTGGTGACCAGAGCCCCTTTCTTCAGGTGATACAGTCATGTTCAAGGACGGCAGCTACTGGATCCGGGGCCGCATGTCAGTGGACATCATCAAGAGTGGTGGCTACAAAATCAGTGCCCTGGAGGTGGAGCGGCTGCTGCTGGGACACCCCAGCATCAAGGGTAAGTGGCTGTGGCACTGCCATTTCAGCGCAGCTGTACTTGGCCCAGACCCGGCCTTCTTGGGAACAGATGGGTTTTTCTCTGTTTGATTATAGACAAAACAGAGACCAGCCTGCAGCAGGCACCACACAGTGGGGCCCTCCCCACACCACAGTTAGGGTCTGCCCAGCCCACACCACAGCTGGATCCAGGTCTGTGGGGGTGCTGGCTGTGCCGCGTAGTCCCTGTGCAAGAGAGTGGCGGCATCCCCATGCTCAGAAGTAGCTGCATGCTCAGGTTGGCCATGGGCCAAGCATCCTGGTAGGACCAGAGCGGGTGGCTGCGGGCGCTAGTCCAGGAAGCATGGTCCCCACCCAGACCACCTCCTAACCTGGAGTCACAGGCTGTGGGACCCTGAGGACAGCAGAGGCAGCTCCTGTGGACCCAGGCCCAGCCATTTCACCGGGGCTCTCCCTGGTAGCCTGTCCACGGGAGCCCGCAGGCCTGAGGGGCAGAATGCTCTGGACCTTTAATCGTCCTCAGCCCTCTTATTAGCAACTGTCCCCAAGGACAGTGCAAGGGGAGGACAGGAGCGGTGGGCAGGCAGTTCCCACGCTGGACCCCCGCAGAGACATCATGGGGAGCCCACCCTCGTCATCCCCAGCAGCCTCCGGCACTCAGTGCTGCCAGGCGGCTGTTCCCCAGGGCTTGCTCCTGGGATTCCGAGTCCTGGCATTTCCTGCACGTTTCTGGTTATCTTCAGCCTTCAGTGCTTGCTCGTCGTGGCATTTAAGGTGCCCCATGCTGTTCTGTCCACAGATGTGGCTGTGATCGGAGTTCCAGACATGACATGGGGCCAGCGGGTTACCGCAGTGGTGAAACTTCAAGAGGGACACTCACTGTCCCACAAGGAGCTCAAAGAGTGGGCCAGGTAAGGGCTGGGCAGGCAGGGGCAGGGGGCATTCGTGGTGTCGGGGGAAAGAGGACCGTCCAAGGTCAAGGAAATGAATAGGTTGGGGGTGGGCTGTCTCGCGGTCTGCCGGAGGGCCAGGCAGGGGTCTTGGGCCTTGCCGTCATCTGGGGCAGAGGGGTACCTGGAAGGTCAGGTGACGTGGTACTCCCATGAGGCTACCCCCCAGTGAAGTGCTCCAGGAGGCTCTGTAATGATGGCAGAAGATGTAGAACCCTATTCATGCCCATCACAGAAGGGCCGTGAACACCTAAAGGGAAATAGAAGCCCCCGTCCCCAGCCATACACCTCAGCTGTGAGATTTGGCGGAAGGTCCTGGGGTGGCAGAAACACACGCTCCTGGACGGGGTTGCCTGTGGTGAGCAAGTAAGTCCTCTGCCGGCTTTAGGAGGAGGCTTGACAGGGAAACATCCCATTAACCTGAAGCCAAGATCCCGAGCATTCTACGTGGCCCCGGGGCGCTGGGCTGAGCCGGCCCAGAGGGCCCTCCCGTCCTCGCCCTCTCCCTCCCCAACCATGGCACCTGTCCCTCGGCTGTGCCCTAAAACACAGACACTGAGCTCGGGGCGTCTTCACATGCCCCTTGGGTGATCACTGCCAGCCAGAGGCCAGAGCTCCCTGCTCTCTGCTAGAGAGGAGCCAGGCCCCGCACAGCAGCACAGTCCCTGTCCCCCCCTCACCCTATATCTTAGTTCGTTTGCCTTCGCCTAACCCTAAACCCTCCCTCAAGCCTTTCTGTCACCTACCCTGGCCCCAGTGGTTACTGTGTCCCAAGGTCACAGGCCCCTTCCCTGTGCCCATAGTGCCTAGTGGTCAGTCCCAGGACTGAACCTGAACCCCACCACCGTCCTTGTCAAAGGCCAGACAGGACAGGACAGACCCCAGAGGTGGGCCTGATGGAACCATGGAGCAGTGTCCCCGTGAGCTCAGGAAGGAGGCAATTAGCAATCTTCCCTGGGTTCTGTATCTTAAATCCAGGAATTTTCTCCTCCCTATCCCCTCTACCCACGTTCCCCCACCCCACCCCAACTTGTCTCCTTCTCCTTGGTGCTGAAGATATTTTTGGCTCGTCCAACATGATTTCACGAACAGTAGGAATCCTTGTTTCATCAGGGGCAGCACAGCTGGGCAATTAGATCCCCCGGGATTTGCAGAAGCGCTGTTGGAGCACTGGCGTTTAACAAAGGAGACACTGCTTTGAGTTAACAATTACTCTGTTAAAGTGTGTGGACGTATATGTGTGTGTGCGCGCATGCACACACGCACGCACACACACACACACGCACGCACACACACACACACGTGCGCGCACACACACACACGCGTGCGCACACACGCACACACACGCGCGCACACACACGCACGCACACACACACACACACGTTTGTCTGTGTCCTGTGCCGAGAGCTCTCCCAGCACATTTCAGGTCCAGGCTTTGGCTTCATGTTACCCCGGGGCCGTCCTCGGGCAGGCGTCCCGCACACCCGGGCCGATCTCCCTGCCCCTTCACACCCCACGCTGCTCTCTCCGACTCTCTAATGTTCAGCCCAGGCTCCGGGCCCAGCCCCTGCAGCGGCCTACGCTCGTGGTTGTAGCTTGTACCATGGGCGTGAGAAGACCCTGCAACAGGCACTGTGTACAGAGGGTTTGGGGGCGCTCTGGGGAGATGCTTCTGGCAGGACAGGACTGGGTAGAACAGCAAGCCAGCCTGTCATCTGCCTCCATGAGGACTGTCCCAGACTGAGGCCAGCATCCAGCCCTTTGTGTCCCCAAATTGGATAGTTTTCGGGTGTTGACACAGGGGCTGGAGGGACAGGAGGGGTCTCCCTTTCAAAGGGCAGGATGGGCTCCAGATCCCAGCCACCATCTTCGTCCTCCGTGTTCATGGGGGAAGGGAGAGGGGCTGCTCTTTCTTTGGTTGCTGGCTTTTTAGCGAGGCTGCTATTTCTTTATATGTCATGTTCACTGCCATTTGCGGTCTTTTTAAAGGTTTTTTCTTTTTAATAATATTCTCCTTTTTGCTGCCATTTTTTTCATTTCTGAAGATGCTTGCCACCTCCTCAATTTCTCTGCTTCCCAAGTAAAGGGCTGTCTTCTTGCCCTGGGGTACGCCCTTAGCAGGAGTCAGAGGGGACCTGGCAGCCCCAGTGCAGGCAGCACGTCTCGAGGGGTAAGCACGGCCTCAGAGCTGGGTACCACCATGTGCTCAGGGTCTCGGACGTGTGCAACCTGCCACCCTTCCATCCTCCCAAACTCCAAGTAGAAATGGGCCACGTGGGACTTAACACACCCGGGAAGAATTCTTGGCATTGACGTCTGATCAGGCCACGATGAGTAATGGAGGTGGCTTCAGCCCTGTCCCAACTGTGCCCCACTGTGTCTCTTCCCAGGAGACCAGCGTGGAAGGTACTAGGTAATACCTTTATTGTCCATGTGCATTTTTTCACACGGAAACTTGCTCTTAACAAACAACCCAGCCTTGCCGAATTCCTGTCTGAGATCTCACTTTGCTTTGAAGCAGTTCTGAGAGTTCACGTTCAGTCCCTAAGCTGGAGCCCTTGGGGGAGGGCAGGCCCGGCCCACACACTCAGCCGCGTTTCTCAGTGAAGGTCTCCTTCCCAGGGGACCACCGTTCTTGGAAATGGCAAAGGCCAAGATTTTAAACCCACGTCCTTCGTGGCACTTTTAGATCATTTTTTAACTTTTATAGCTTTTGTTTCTTTTTCAGTGGTTGCTAAGTTAGGGTTTATAATGTGCATCTCTGACGCACCAGTGACCCTCCCCTAACCTCAGTCTCTTCAGGCACAGATAGCCCGTGCGCTGTTGTTGCTATGCGTCCACTTTTATATTTGTTACACACCCTCACTACATTCCTCTCACTGTTGTTCAGACGGTTATCTCCTAAAGATAATGCAATAATAGGGAAAATACTATCTGTGTCCCGTCTCTGGTGCTCTTCTTACCTTGGCTTTTCCTGGACTCTGTCCTGCCTGCAGACACCCTTCCACCTCTGAGGCACGTCTGCTGATAAGGAACTGTGTCAGCTGCTAAGGAAAATACTATCTGTGTCCCGTCTCTGCTGCTCTTCTTACCTGGGCTTTTCCTGGACTCTGTCAGCAGCATTTCCTCCTGCCTGCAGACACCCTTCCACCTCTGGGGCACGTCTGCTGATAAGGAACTGTGTCAGCTGCTATGTGTCTGAAAACATCTTTACTTTTACCTTCATTCTTGAAAGATACTGTCTCTGGACGTAGGATTCTAGATCGACCGGTTTTTCTTTTAGTTCCTGGAAAATGGCGTTCCACATTCCACGACCTTTTCACCTGCAGTGTTCACCGCAGGAATCCGCTCTCCTGGGCCCTCTCCTCTCTGGGCCCTGGCACCCAGCTCAGCGCTAACGCAGCGAAGCAAAGAGGGGGCATGGGGAGAGCCACACCACACAACATATCACCCAAACACCACTGGAGACCCTGAGTTTTAGCAGCCAGGCTGGGCGGACGCGGTCAGCTGTGTTCCAGGAGCAGGTGGGGGTGTCGGGCCTTAGGGTTTTGCCCTGCTGCACTGTCAGAGTCACCAGGGTCACCAGGCCAGTCCTGGTGACTTGTTCCAGCAAAGTCCAACCCAGAGCCACACATCGTCCCAGCCCCAATGGGCAGCCAGCCATCTCCTGCAGCTGCCAGGACTACAGATGGTGGCACAATCTCCTTATGAACCAGCAGCCTGCACCCCGAGCACCCTGGAGTAGGAGCCCCCGTAGCCTTTGGCCTGCAGCAGACTGTGGCAGGAGCCGCCCTGGGATAACAATGCATTCAGCACAGTACTGCTGACGCTTTCTGCCTGTGGGCAGATGGACCCAGCCTGCAAGGGCGATTAGGCTCATGTTTATTTATAAGCACCCGGCTGCTAAGGTAAGTTTTGGGATTTCTCTGCCACCCCCATCATTGGCTCCTCACCATGACTGATCCTCAGTGGCCAAGGCTGCCCCACAATTGCACACTGGAGGGCCACACATGCCTGCTGGCTCTGGGCAGACATTGGGGCCATATGTCCTGCACCCCACTGTCTGAATCATTCTAGCCTGGCCTGAAGATTGTTATCAGTAGCCCCAGAGCTCAGGAGCTGCCACCCCAGGCAGAATCCTGTGCTTCTGCTATTTTATTACAAAGGGGCACGTGGCCCCGGGTGTTGCTGTGAGAGAGCAGGGAGCAGGCAGCTCTTGTCTGGCCAGAGGAAGCCTTGGGAGGGAGAACTCGGGCCCTGCAGCCTGAGGAGTTCCAGAGCAGAGCCTATGGGGGTGGGACCCCAGATGGGGTCATACACAGGAAAACAGGAGAGCACATCATCTAATGGGGTACCCCTCATGGGAGTGGAAGTGCAGGGAGGCTTCTGGACTACCAGACAAGCCCCTCTCACTGCTTGGGTGCTGGACTCTGGTGGGGCGGGGGGGAGGGGAGGGGCGGCTGTGCCGGCCCATGTGGCTGCAGCACCCAAGGTCTTACCACTGCCTCCTCTGCCCATCTGTCCAAGGCTGCTGTAGTGACCAGGCCACAGAGTAGGACCAGCTCTCTCCAGCTGTGGGAGACCTGGCCCCAAGTGGGGCTCATCCTCTCCCCTTGGGTGGGCAGAGGGGCATCTCTGTGTTAGTGTGTCCTGCAGCAGGGCACCCTCCCGGACAGGCACAAGGTGGCCAGGCTTCTGGCCACGGGAAGGATGCTGTGTGGGCCCTGCAATCTCCTGCTACTCAGGCCAAGCGTGTCTCTGCAGAGGCGTTCTGGCCCCGTACGCTGTGCCTTCCGAGCTCCTGCTGGTGGAAGAGATCCCGAGGAACCAGATGGGGAAGATCAACAAGAAGGACCTCGTCAGGCAGTTCTATCCACAAGACCAAGGCCAGGGGTCCATAAGCCAGCTTTAAGCTAAAACCCCGTAAATCAGAAGGAATAGAGTGAGGCCTGATGGAATGAGATCACAGCAGGAGGCCTCCTCTGCCCACCCTTGCGGCTACACCCACACCCTTTTGTGGCTCCTTAAACTCCCCGAGGCTGCCGGGCAGGTCCCAGGCAGGTCTAGGAGTCACCTGAGGATGCAAGTTTCCAAAGAAAATGCAATAAAGCTTCACAGAGGAAAAATATTCCTGTGCCTTGCTGTCTGCCCAGGGCCTGCATGGGGGCCATGCTCCAGGTGCAAGGAGTCCTTGCATCTGCACACATGTGCGTGTCACAGCGCAAGGTGTCTCCCGCTGTCTGGGTTGCCCATGTGGCCACCGCAGGTGACCCGCAACCCCTCTTGGTTGAACCCCGACAGTTCTGAGTAGCTGACCCTGAAGACAGGCCTGGGCATCCAGCTGAGGGGGTCGGGCATGCTATTGTCTCTTCTGTCCTCCCTGACACATTTCCCCGTGAGCTCCAGGACAGCCCATCCTATGAGAGTGGCATCGCTGTTCCCCAGGGACCCTGGCGGAGACTCACGTAGGCCTTCGGGCCAAGCTGACCACCATGGGGATGCAGCTCAGGCGACCAGAGAGCCAGGGAAGCTGAGTGCCTGGAGCCTCTGCTAGGCGGCTTCATGTAGCCCCTCAACCCCCTCAAAAGGAACATTCTAGACCAGGGGCCCACAAACTTCTGGGATGGGCCAGATAGTCAATATTTTAAGCTCTGCAACCATGCAGTCCCCATCACAGCTGCTGACCTCCGCTGTCACAGTGTGGATCCTGCTGTCATGCGAGTCCACATCTTCTCAGTAGCCAGAGACTGACACCAATGGCCCTGCAGCTGCTCCACCTTGACTTTTGACCCTTAACCCCCATCCCCTCCATGCTACTCCGTCCACATACCGCTATACCCCGCCCCTCCTTTCAGTCTTCGTCTAAACACCACCTCCTCCTTAACAGATCCCCTCCGCTACCCCTAGACAGGCCCAGGCCCTCCACCCTCCCCAGCCACGAGCGCACAGTTCTCCGAAGAGCGAGTCACATGTCAGTATGCCCGCTTTCCACTCCTGGCTATGTTGACTCTGTCGCATGGGTGCCCCGTGTGCACTCCAACAGAGAATCCAGGAGCCCCTGGACAGTTTACTGGAGACCAAGGCAGCTCCTCTACCCAAGACCGCTGGGAAGTGCCACTCACAGCACAGCAGGAGTCTGGGCTTGACTTCTCCAGGACATTCTGTCCTCAGAATGTGTGTCTCAAGGAGCAGCAAACTGTGGGAGCTGGGGACTGGAGGAGCCACCTCAGCCGGAGCAAGGGCTTGGTGCCTTGTTTAGAAGATTCAGGGGGTGAGGGAGGCCGGGCCAAGACCATTTTCCCCACCCCAGTGTTGCATTGTGACTCCCCAAGGCCTGACCCTGGGCGTGGCATTTGTTCAGAGGACCATCCAGCCCCTAGCTCCCTCCTGCCTGAGGCCTGGACATGCAAGCTGGTCGCCCACCTACTGAGCAAGCTGCCCAGGGGTTTCAGCCACTGTGCCCACAGCCGGCTCCTCTCGAGGGCAGCCCTCAGCGCCACAGCAGACACCGAGGCTTCCCGCTGTCCTTGAGTCTGGCCCTGTGGTAACTAGGGAACCACATAATTACATGCTACTGAGAAAAATGAGATTCAGCACTGCGGGATCTTTGCTTAATCCCACTGGTTTGACACTGTATCTGTCCTGATACTGAAATTTTCGATTCCTAAAAATGTTTATGTAATTATTTGCTTTATGCTATAATCTCTATCAAATACTTTCAAAAAATAACAGCCATCTTCAACTAACAGCAAGACTACAGAAGGACATTGATTTGTCCTTGGAACAGGTCCCCCTAAGGACACAGAACACTGTGCCCCACTTGCTAAATCAGCGTGACCAAAGGTCACCAGGCTTCCAGAAAATTCCCCTTTGGCTAGAAATGCTACCCCCACTCACACACACACACACCTGCTCCCTAAGGCTGACCCTCACTACGCAGCCCCACCATCCTGCACTCGGCTCCCACAGTAAAGCTAGGAGCTGGCACCCGGGGAGTTGGGCTGTGACAGCTTGATTGACAGCCCATCTACCTTTGACCTCACTAGGAGGGGCCACACTGGGTCTGCACTTGTTGCAAAGCAGCTCAGATACCCAGGGTGCCTGGTGGGGGCTGCTCCTCAGACAAGCCATCTCCTCGGAGCAGGGGAAAGGCCAGCCTGTGCTCGCAGGGCCCCTCAGGCTCCAGAGAGGAGGGAACACACCTGGCTCAACCCATCCCCGAGTCCTGCCATGTCCCACCCTCTGAACATATATATACTCATCAGCAGCCAGGGCAAAGCTCTGCTGCCTCCTTGTGCATCCAGCATCTGCGTGTGCAGACGTGGAGGGCCAGCCAAGGGAAGAGACCCCTAAGAAGCGACAGGCTTGAAATAGCCACAGACATGTCTGGGCCAAAACCTCCCAGCCCCTCCCTGGCACACAAGGCCCATGTCCTCTCTGCCCGGGTTCCCTGCTCTGTGATCTAATAAGGCTGGTACTTCCTATGGGCTCTTCTGGTCCTGACCAAGGGACTGAGGCTTTGCTCCCTCGGAAGTCCAGTCATGGGGGCTGGCGACCCCACACAACCTCCCACCTAGAAGCTCCCCAGTCCTCCCGGCTCCCCAAGGGGGCCATGGTGGCATGTTAGGTCAGGGCACGGAGTCCTATCAGCCGAGGTCAGCACAGGCCAGGCCACCAGCACCCACTGCCCAGGCACCAGGCACTTTCATGTCCACCCAGCTGTGTAGCCACAGTTTGAATCTCTATGTATAATCTGGGCTGCTTTGCAACAAGTGCAGACCCAGCGCGGCCCCTCCTAGTGAGGTCAAAGGTAGATGGGCTGTCAATCAAGCTGTCACAGCCCAGCTCCCTGGGTGCCAGCTCCTGGCGATTAGACATAAAGACTTAAACTGTGGCTATATAGCCGGGTGGACATGAAAGTGCCACCACACCCACGACTCAAGATTCTTGATGGTCAGGGATGCACACAGGCCTGCAACGAGCCCACAGCCACTGTGCTGTGAATCCAGACCCTCTGTGTCTTCCCTCCGTGCCTGCCACCTTCACGGTTCAGACCTGAGGACATCCACACCTGCCTTCCCTGGAAACTTTCTCTTGCATCCCTCCCAAACGGGGGCAACAGCCGAAATGTCAGGGCACAGATGCCTGACTGAGAGCAGAACTCCTTGGTGTGGTCCCCAAGATTGTCATAGATGCACCTCATGTCCTAGATCTAGGGGCCCGGACTCCCCGGGTGTGTCCATGAGCAGAGCCACCTGCCAACACAGGTGAGGCTGGGACTCCCGTGTCTGCCTGCTCAGAGATAGAGGACCCAGAGGGGCACCCCAAGAGCCAGGTCATGGGGCACTAAGCCTGTCTAAAGGGGATTCTGGCAGTTGGGCACCCAGTTTTAGACCAAATAACCATGTAAAAATGAGTACAATGCCGGGCTGACTTTAAAGAACAATGAATAGGAAATACATGCCTGCATACGTAACTGTGCTCACAGACATCCCTGCATACACGCCAGTGTTCACACGCACACACACACACACACATGCTCTGTGATACTTCCCAAGTTTTTGGGCTGAGTATTTCCAAGAATACCTGGAATCACCCTAAACGTTGAAGTCCCAACTCTTTCTGGTTTATGTTGAGTTTCTACATTAAAAAAAAAAAAAAAAAAAAAAAATTCGGAGGCCGATTCTAGCACCAAACTAAATTTGAAAACTACAGCTCCTTTCTTAAAATGGTTCTGGCCTGTGACCTCCTTCTGGGGGCCCTGGGGACCTGTGCTGTACCTGCCATGCCCGCCTCTTCCTGCTCCTCCTCTTTACTTCCTGGGCCTGTCTCCGTGTGCCCGTCTTGCCTTCTGGACACTGGACAAGGTTGTGCCGGGGTCCCCCACGGGACCCCCACCCCATTGCTCCCCTTCCCTGGCAGTCCCCTCCCCCATTCTCTCTCCCATAGTCCCCTCACCACCCCTGCAGTCCCCCCTCCCCATCTTGCACATTCAGCCCATGTCCCCCTGTCTCTGTGTCCTCAGTGATCGCACTGGGGCCTGTCTTTCTCCATGTGGACTCTGTGTCTCTGGTCAGTTGCTCGAGGTCATTTTTGTTATTGTGGACCTGTGTGCATTGTCAGCGCTGCTGGGTGGCCCTTCTAGAACCTTCCTGAGCCAGAGCAGCCCGCATTTCACCAGAACCCCTATGCCCTGCCTTGATGGGTTCTATGGTGCCGCTTTCCCCTCCCACTGGGCCGTGAGCGGTGGTCAGAGCAGCTCTTTGTCCTGCCTGTGGGAGTCAAGTGTATCCTTTGTTAAAACATCACGGATGCAGTAATTCTTAGCTCACCAAATAGATCAATATCAAATTATCATGTCCCACGTTCATAACTCTTACGCATGCAACAATAGGGGAACAAGGTCACTGGAGAATAAATAGCAGCAGAGGCACTTTGCGATCCATCACTGCAGACAGCTGCAGGCATCCCACGCAGCACTGACAAGGCCATTAATAAAGCTAGGAGATGGATGACCACAGGGAGAGGCCAGACCACCTGCCTCACCCGGGGGAACCTGTGGGGCTCCACCTCAAGGTGGGGAGGGACTTCCACCCACCTGGATATGATGGGGATCCCCGCTCAGGTCCCCGACATATTCGCGAACCCAGCTGCTCTCCCGGCCATGGTGAGCGCCCCAAGGGGAGAGCTCTCAGCCCGTTTTACAGACGAGGAATCTGAGGTCTGGTGAGGTGAGCGACTGTCCCAGGGCCCCAAGATGAGAAAGGACAGGAAGTCAGGGGCAGGGCTGGCTGCGTGGAATAGCAGGACACTGGGGACGTGCTTGACGCAGGGAGAAGCTTGGCGCAGGTGTGTCAGTGGGAAGGGAGCTGGCCCCTGGCCTAGCTGGCAATGGCGGCCCTTCTCTGGAGTGGCCTGGTTCAGTCTTCCCAGATAGGGAGCCCATCCTGGAGCTGGTCAGGAGCTGTGGAAGCTACAACACAGGGCCATCTGAGGGAGCCTAGGCCCACCTCTACTGGGTCCCTGTGAGTCCCCCAGCCGCCCTCAAATTCTGGAACCACCAGTGAGGGACCCCAAAGATGTCCACGTCCCGACCCCTGAGACCAGGACTGTGAATAGGTTACTTCA